CACACACACACACACACACACACACACACGCACACACACTGACTCACACGCTGGTCTGGCAGCAGCTGAACCAACTTTACATGTAACTGTTTATTTTTGGGTTTTTTGTTTCTTTTCCACTGAAATCTGCGCTGCTGTTTCCTGTAAGAACTAAATGTGTTGTTCTTTCCACCTCGTTACCTGAAACTTGGTTTAGGAAGCACGATTTAATTTTACAACTTTTACAAAGAAATTAAAAACACTTTGCCCAGCTTCAGTCAAAGCCATCCTTTGAGGAACATCACAAAGTCAAAATTCGAAGCAAATATGTGATTGTAGCTGTCGTTCACTGAGCTGTAGGTTTTATTTTGGGGGAAGTCTGTTAGTCAAACCAAAGGCACAGGATCCTGTCGGACTCCCTGCTCCGTGTCTCTGCTTTTAGTCTTTACTTCTCACCCCTTTCTCTTTCTAACCTTCCCTCAGACACTTCATTTGTCTGGCTCTTTATTATGTCTCTCGCCTCCATCTCCTCATTAATCATTCAGTCTTCCTCTGCTCCAATTAAATAATTAAAAGCACCCAGAGCCATCACTTTTTATCCAGCAAAGATGCCCTCCACACAGCTCAGTGGTGCCTTTCATCAGCACCACAGCCAAATGCTCCAAATATTGTAATCAGGACTTTCAGTAATTAAGGGCAGAAAATGTAAAATACTGTTTTTGAAAACAATCAAATGTAAACGCTGCTGTCTTTGGCTGATCACTGACCTCGTGCTCTGATAGGCTGCCACCTTCGTGTCTAACAAACTGGGACAGTAGTTATGTCAGCTGGTAGCTTTGTCTCTGATATTTAATAATGAAACCTTTCTTCAAATCAGTGATTTAACATTACAAACACAAAACGATCTAATAATAAGAATAATTATATTCAGTAATTATATTCAATAATAACTGTTCGTCGCCAGAACCACACAGTTTTTTCCAGTTGCCAGGAAATCAGACTTGAACATGGCAGCAACAGAAGCAGCTCATCAGCTCATCAGACACACGAAGCTTTTTGACAGACTACACCAGTGCAGTTCAGTCTGTTTGGGTTGCACCTACCAAAACTAAGACTTATGTCCAATCTGCATATAGAAATATAATTTTAGCAGATAAACCAGGCTGACTACAGATCACTGAGCGAAACCAGCGCAGAGGATTGTTATTATCACACAGTGGCATGTAGAGAGGCAGGGTGGGCGGGACTAAGTATAAAGAAAGTCTGACATGACTAAAGCAAAGGCCGCTGACCTGTTATAAATATGAGAAGTGAAAAAAGCAGTATTACTTGGCCATTAGGGCGCTGACATCATTCCAGTGCCGCATATTTAAACTTTTATTTCCTCAATTTATTTCTAGATTTCATGTGAAAGAAACACTTTTTTGGAGGTTTTGCTGGAGCACAGATCTTTATTCATCTCTGGAGCCACGGCTGCATACAAAGCAGCCATTAGTGTTTGTTACACTGTCTAAAAACACAGCCTCCTGATTTGTCTGCTGACCCTGTGGCCCGCCCCCTCCCCTGCACATCATCACAGGAGGACACACTGAAATGCGCGCTCTTCTTGTTTCTGCAACAGCTCGCTCTCGCCTCGTTACACTTCACAGAGCCCACACATGTCCACCGAAGCACACAAACATGTAGTCGCACACATTCCCACTCATATACACTCACACATACACATGCACAACCACCTCAAAGCTGTGTTATTGTTGGGCTTTTGCCTGCTGCCTGGCTGCTCTGTTTCAGACTCGCTGTAACACAACGGACACTGATTTATTTCCAGCAGAGGAAAGTGTCTCTCTGAGCTGTTTCCTACTTTCACAGCGAGCGCTGCACTGTCCACAGTTTTCTCTCTCGGGCTGAAGAGCATCTCTGCAACACAAAGCCAGATGACACTTTTACATCCCACAGATCAGCTCCTCTCTGAGCTCACACACCACCCTCATCAGAGCTGAACTATATGTGCCATAAGTCAAACACAACTCTTACACTTCTCACTGCACTAAAATACTAAATTACAGGCATCATCCTGTATGCACAGAACGAGCCGACCAGCTGGCCGACTGGACATTTGTGTGGAGCATTTCTCCCAGTTTCTAAAACGAGCTTTTCTCAAACAGAGACAAACATGCGAGCAGAGATCAAGCTCCAGTTTGAACATTGATCGACCTCGAACCCAGCAGAACATGACTGAAGCCGTATCCAAGCAGCTGCAGCATGTTTGTCTTCTGTTAGCGCAGCGAGGTTAACATACATAAAATAAACAAAGAGGTTACAGAGTTACTAATGCTCTGTTTGAAAGAAAATACAGATATATGCAAAGCAGCTCCATATCACTCACGGAGGCCATGCACAGCACCGTCTCACAACCCTGCTGCTATCCTGTGCTTATTGACCAACCTGCTGCTGATACCCCGGGGCTCGGTCAATACAGATCGCTCCAACCGCTCTGCCACACAGCACAGATGAGCAGCATGCTCACTTATTCTGCTTGATCAGGTAAACAACACCGGGCCATGCAACCTCTCTTTGTGCAGAAACTACAGGTTGACTTATACAGCATGGTTTGGAAGGACTGCAGGTACAACGTGAAAGTGAAAAACATGTTACAGAAAATGGACAGAAAACCTGCCTGGAAGCCAGAAAGTAACAAAGTAACATCACAGTATTTTCTTAACTTGTGCTTGTTTCAAACCTCTCCGCTGACCACTGCTTTAGCTTTCAGCAGTTGGTTGATAGCAGGTTAAAGACAACAGATGAAATATTTCCCCACTATGTGCTCAACTGGCTGAAGTTTCAGCTCATGAGCTCAAGTCGACCAAAGAACAAAAATCGTCCACTTTCTTATGTTTAGAGCGTGGCACGAGGCCGGTGGGATTTCCAACAGGAGAGCACCAAATCTAAAGTAGCGACGACAACATTTAACCAACAATTAGCTTAATCTTTTCCTGTGGCTTAAAGCTGTGGAACTGTGGGTTCGGGGTGAGATCAGAGCTGTGGGGTGAGACCACCACCTCCTCCAAGTTTTCCAAAACCAGAAGAAGAAGACTGAAACATTCAGTGATGGTTTTACACTAAAAACATCAACAAGAATCCATTAAATGCTCGAGTCACAGTCGAGTTTCATCACAATGCTGAAATCAGATTAAGGCAGACTGGGGCACACACATCCCCCTCAACAGGAGGCCCATATCGGCTCAGTATATCAGTCTAATCCACACTCAGTCTTTGCAAAGGTCAGTCCTCTCCAAGCTCCATTATGGTTCAAATATCAGCAGGACTCTTAAGCAACCCCCACCCAACATCAGGGGATTATTACTGGAGTTGTCCCGAGTGTGTGTGTGTGTGTGTGTGTGTGTGTGTGTGTGTGTGTGTGTGTGTGTGTGTGTGTGTGTGCGAGCACTGACCGTTGCAGACAGCCTGTCCCTTCGCCAGCTCTGGCTCCATCTCGATGATGTATTCCTCCTGTGTAAACCCCCTCGTGCATGGCAACGACCCCTGCTTGCTTGACAACGACTGCTCGGCCTCTCCACCCACAACCACCGCCTAAAGACGAGGAGGGAAAAGAGAATAAAAAGAGCTGTTTGCATTTTAGATTGCATCTTTTTACCCCTTCGACCTGGCAAAAGGATGTTTTTCTCCAGAGCATGATTCAAACCGACCCAGGAGAAAATCACAGCCGTTTTAAAATGACTTCTCTTTTCCATAAATCTGTGGTCGTTCATGAAAATGACAGACACCAATTTGTTTCAGAAGACTTGTTAAGCATGAATTTAAGGATAGAAAATGTAATTAGCACAGACCAATTATCTCATTTCCCACATTTCCTTATTGGGGTTTGTTTTCCTTGTCTTGCGATGTGGAGGCGCAGAAGAAGAGCCGTGCGTCAGAGGGAAATAAACCCAGTGCATCACCGGCCCGAGCCAACAGAGCTTTATTAATCACTATGAAGCGCAACAGACAACTGGGTCAATTAATTTTGATGATAATTAGCGTCTAGACTTTTGTCTCTCCTGTTGTTTGAGCGTTGGCCCAATGTGACCCCCCCACCCCGTGTCCCACATACACACTGACGCACACAGACACACACACTCCCAGTCCTGCACAGAGAAAAGCATCTGTTGTGTGGGTTCTTCTGTGATTAAAGGAATAAAGCCAACAGGGTGCTGTGATTCGCTTCCACTTAACCCAAAAATTTAAACTCTCGCGTCCTCGCTGCCCATCCTGCCACGTTTGGAAGAGCTGGGGGGGGCTGCCTTTTATCTGTTCCCTTATTAACATAAGTAAGGAGGAAGTACACATGTGCTTCTGATGCTGTGTCTCTGCAGAGTGCGATTCAGTGGTCACATTAACAGATCAGGCAAAACGTGCAGCGGAGAAAAACTGGACAGAGGCCACTCCAGGACAGAGGGGCTGATCTCCTTTTTTCCTTCTAATTCCCGGTGATCCATTTCCTGCTGGGTGATCGCTCCTATGTCTGGAAGTCCTCTTTGTTTCTTTGCTGTTGTGGGGGTGGTTGATGTCATGCATGGCTCACCTGAAAGGACTACAAATGGGTCTTTCTGTGCAGTTCAAACAAAATTTGCTTCCACAGGAGGAGAACTGTGTACGAATGCTTTGAACTGTCCAAGCTGGCGTCTAAGCGTCCACACCACTGGGGTGTATCGATATGTCGGGGAGTTGATTTTTTACTTGGCACAAAAGGTAAAAGTCAATACAGTTTGTCTGATGCTCCTTCTTCTTCCCCAGAGTTCCCCAGAGATGAGTCCTTTCACCACTTTTGTTTTATATACAATTGAGTGATGGAGCCTTTATGGACACGTCATGAAGCGCACAGATCATTTTGTCATTGTGTGTCTCTTCAAACGCTGTAAAACAAACCAGGATCCAGTGCTGGGTGACCACGGTCTACATAAATGTGTCTACACCATGGGAATGTCTCTTATTTACAGCGGCAGTTGGACTGTAAATGGACAGAGTGCAACATGTTCAGACGTCCCCACAGGACATTTTAAGAGAATGCAATCAGGGAGGAATCTGATGCAAAAATACTACGTTTCCCTTTTTGGGATTATTTTGGTCATAAACCAAACACAAGCAGGAGCCCAAACATAGCAGGAGATGAAGCCTCTGCCTGGCTCTGAATGGATTACCAGAAGGAAGGGGGGGGTTAACTTACTGTATGCTGCTGAGTGATTTGGATGCACAGCTGCACAGTTTTAGTTCTAAAATATGACTTTAAATTGATGTTGCTGTTAATGTAAGAAAGAAACTCTGATGCAAAGACCAGCATTCATTTCTTTCTTGCCTTGACTCGCTTCCCTTCAAAGAGGCAGTTGGTTGAATGTGCAGCAGCACTGAAGCCACAAAGAAGGCCCAATCAGACCCTGCTGATCCTGGTCAGTCCGCTTTCAGTCTGCTGAATCCATCTGGTCACAGATGTAATCCTCCAAGATGCAGGACCAACAGATTTAAGACCTGATTTGTCCCTCCTGCTTTTGGCCTTTTCAGAAACCTGATGTAATCCCATATTTTTAGTGTGTCGATTGTTGATGATTATTTTATTTACTGCCTGCAGTGCAACAAAATTGCCTCTTGTGGGTAAAAAAAATCAACTTGACCTTGAATCAACCAATCAGTCTAACAGCAGAAAAGTAATCAGCAACAATTCATCAAAAAATCTAAAACTTTTCCAGTTTTGTAACCGTTTTCATTTTTAAATGAAACATTGTGAAAACAGCTTCGTGTCATTGTTGGAATCTTAAACTGACGGCTATTAAATACATAAAGCTATCAATGCGTACACAGAGGAGGCACTCAGATTAATGGTGAATGCACGCTCAGTGAGAATCCTCCTTTAACATCTGACAGATCTGTTGTGTCACATTGCTTTCGCAGACTTTACTGATTAAGCCCTTCATGTCACAACTCATTGTTTGGGATGCAGCGTGCAGTAATTACAGCCACAGCAGGTATGTGACAAGGCATACGAACAGTCAGCACGAGGAGAGGGTAGCTTTCTGAAATGACTTTATGTTCTAATGCCGGTGGATGATGCTGTCATTCTGGGAACAGTCATCAAGGGGATGAAAAACTGAAGCAGCTCAGCAAACAGACACGCTGTAAACCTCTGAAACCCTCCTGCCCTCTTTATCAGAGTCAAGGATGCGATCACTTAATGCAACTCATCACCTCTGCTGATGATGGCAGGTAATCTCACCTGGTACAGATTATATTATCACTGACAGGAATATTATGATCAAAAGGAGAGAAAAGGAATCAGGTCGAGCTGAATGGTCTTTACTAATTGGCGCTGACACTGAAGATCATTTAAGAACAGAGCGGTCCATCAATGAGACGAGTGTTCAAGCAATTAACAACCTGACTGATAATCTGGGCCGATGCTCAGCATTTTCCACAGTTATCTGCATTCGCTTTGTTGCTAAACTTGTCTGTCCACAGTCCACTCTGCAGTCTCTGGTTTAATCGGCACTGAAAGCTGTTTGTGCCACAGAAACATATTTTCAGACGAGACCATCGGTTGTATATAACAGACGGCCGCAGCCCAACTCTGCATGTTGAAGCCTAAATGTTTTGGCTGCTGCCATGTTGCTTTTTCGACGCCAGCAGTGACCATGTTTAGCTGACCGGGTGCAGTGCTGATGTATCGGGCTATGCTAGCTTCATTAGCAAGCTGCATGCACCATAAACTGCACGGGTCCAATGTTCAGGCACAGATGCCCGCTAACCATCGCCGAGCAACAGGCTAACACAATAATATCATCAGAGTGCAGCACAAACCTCTGGGCTGGCTGTGCCACACGCGAGCAACATTATTTTACAAAGAATCATTAAAACCTGCCAGCGAGCACTAACAAAGCACAAAAGCAGAGACGACCAGACTGAAGGAAACCTTATGCCAGCACACTGTTCAGTCAAAGAAGCCACGCCCACAACTCTAAGTCTTTCCACGTATAAGAGAAATATTCCAACTACTGTATATTTATTATACAAAATAAAATTCATTTTTAAAACCGAAAGTTCTTTTGAGCCAGCTGTGCATCATTTTAGCAGCGTTAAACTGTTTAACATGGGAGTCTGCAGGGACTCATGCTGCAAGGACTCACGCTGCAGGGACTCACGCTGCAAGGACTCACGCTGCAGGGACTCACGCTGCAGGACTCACGCTGCAGGGACTCACGCTGCAGGGACTCACGCTGCAGGGACTCACGCTGCAGGGACTCACGCTGCAGGGACTCACGCTGCAGGGACTCACGCTGCAAGGACTCACGCTGCAAGGACTCACGCTGCAGGGACTCACGCTGCAGGGACTCACGCTGCAGGGACTCACGCTGCAGGGACTCACGCTGCAGGGACGCACGCTGCAGAGGACTCACGCTGCAGGGACTCACGCTGCAGGGACTCACGCTGCAGGACCACGCTGCAGGGACTCACGCTGCAGGGACTCACGCTGCAGGGACTCACGCTGCAGGACTCACGCTGCAGGGACTCACGCTGCAAGGACTCACGCTGCAGGGACTCACGCTGCAGGGACTCACGCTGCAGGGACTCACGCTGCAGGGACTCACGCTGCAAGGACTCACGCTGCAGGGACCACGCTGCAGGGACTCACGCTGCAGGGACTCACGCTGCAGGGACTCACGCTGCAGGGACCACGCTGCAGGGACTCACGCTGCAGGGACTCACGCTGCAGGGACTCACGCTGCAGGGACTCACGCTGCAGGGACTCACGCTGCAGGGACTCACGCTGCAGGGACGCACGCTGCAGGGACTCACGCTGCAGGGACTCACGCTGCAGGGCTCAGCGCGGACTCACGCTGCAGGGACGCACGCTGCAGGGACGCACGCTGCAGGGACTCACGCTGCAGGGACTCACGCTGCAGGGACTCACGCTGCAGGACTCACGCTGCAGGACTCACGCTGCAGGGACTGCACGCTGCAGGGACGTCACGCTGCAGGGACGCACGCTGCAGGGACTCACGCTGCAGGGACTCACGCTGCAGGACTCACGCTGCAGGGACCACGCTGCAGGGACTCACGCTGCAGGGACTCACGCTGCAGGGACTCACGCTGCAGGACTCACGCTGCAGGACTCACGCTGCAGGACTCACGCTGCAGGGACGCACGCTGCAGGGACTCACGCTGCAAGGGACTCACGCTGCAAGGACTCACGCTGCAGGGACTCACGCTGCAAGGACTCACGCTGCAGGGACTCACGCTGCAGGACTCACGCTGCAGGGACGCACACTGCAGTCTGCTCCAAGTGGCCACTTAAGGAACTCCAGACTTGGCACCTTCAAATCTGACAAATACATGTGATCAAAACTGTAAAGCTGTGGATATTATTATACTACCTCCAGATCAATGCCAGTAAAACCAAGGAGCTGGTGGTAGACTTCCGCAGGCACAAGCATTCTCCACTGCAACCACTGAACATCCAAGGTATGGACATTGAGGCTGTGGACAGCTACAGGTACCTTGGTGTTCATCTGAACAACAGACTGGACTGGACTCATAACTCAGACGCCCTCTACAGGAAAGGGCAGAGCAGGCTGTACCTGCTGCGGAGACTCAGGTCGTTTGGAGTGGAGGGCCCACTCCTGAAGACCTTCTATGACTCTGTGTGTGGCTTCTGCTATCTTTTATGGTGTGGTCTGCTGGGGCGGCAGCATCTCTGCTGGGGACAGGAAGAGACTGAACAGGGTGATCCGAAGGGCCAGCTCTGTTCTTGGATGCCCTCTGGACCCAGTGGAGGTGGTGAGTGACAGGAGAACGGCGGCTAAGCTGTCATCCCTGATGGACAACATCTCCCACCCCATGCAGCAGACTGTGACAGCACTGAGCAGCTCCTTCAGTGGGAGACTGCGGCACCCACGGTGTGGGACGGAGAGATTTCGCAGGTCTTTCCTCCCCACTGCTGTCAGACTCCATAATAAAGACTTTAACTGATACAAACACACACATCCACATATGCAATAAACTAAGTGCAATAATCTTTTCTGGCATCGTTGTATTTTTACTCAGTTGTATATAGCATTCGTATTCTATTTTTATCTTATTGTATATTTTTATTCTATTTTATTCTACTGTATATAGTATATTATTTTATTCTATTCTGTACAGCTGTGTACTGTATTTATTCTTATTGTATTCTAATTTTTGCGTCATAACTTTTGCACTGTCCACTTCCTGCTGTGACAAAACAAATTTCCCACATGTGGGACTAATAAAGGTTATCTTATCTTATCTTATATTCCACATATCTGCTGTTGGTCTCCTCTGATTCCTTATAGTCTGTTTGCCCTAACCCACACACACACACACACACACTCGGCAGGTTGCTCTTAAACAATGATACCTGGTGTCTCAATGAGATTTACTGTGTAAATAAAGGTGAAATAAAAAAACAGACGTGGCTTATCTTCATTAACCGTTCAGCTCGTGGCTGGAGTTTATTATCAGCCTTCTTGTTTTTGATAAGAGGCTCCGATTTATTGTCAGCTGACTGACTGAACAGCGTGCTGTGGAAACCCAGCTACTCCAACCAAACGCTGCACCCACTGATTTCTGGGAAAGAGGACTAATCATCCACTGCTGAAAAGCCGCATCTTCTTAACACCTGACATTACTCACTCACTATTTCAGCAGCTAAAATATATCAAAGGTAACTGTTGGGAAGCAGTAATGTAACAAAGTGTTCTGCAGGTTACCTCTGTGGGCATCTTGTTTTCCCAGTAAAGAGGAGGCCTGCCTCCATTGCAGCTCTTTTATAGGCCATTTCCATACAACAAACAGATGCTGCATATTTGACTTTTTTCCTCTACAAATCTTCAAGCCTAACGTGGGGATGCACTTTCCACCCAAAAGCATCACTCGGCCTCAGTGAGTCAGCGTCCCGTTCATGTAAACACAGCTGGTGCAAAAGATACACCTCTGATTAAAGATGAGTTGATGCGGTGCATCGTTATCCTCGATGAATGCAGAAAGTCTAACACGTCCGGTCCTTCCCTCGTTTGTTGATTATGAGCCTATTTACATATTTCAATATGAAGCTCGCCATCACTTCAAAGTTCTCAGTGAGTCAAGCGTTTAAAGCTTTGCCCGCAGCGAAATTAATCTGCGTCATTTTAATCACAAAGCACAGGATTCGCAAATGACAATAATTTAGCAGAGCCCCCCTCAGGAGGAAAGGTCAGCACACAGAGGGGCATTGTCACAAGGATGGATAGCATTTGTGACACCACAGATAAAATCAAACCCTAATCAACTCGCAAACATTTCTTCCTCCTGGTGTAACTAAAGGCTGCGGGGAACAGGGGGCTCATTATCTCCACAAACTGAGATGATGTTCTGCCTAATGCTGTTAACTGTTTTATCTACAAATAACTGCATTATCTACAAGCCCGTTAACCCTCTACAGTGACATCACTGAATCATTAACCCTATCAGCAGCAGCACCTTCAGCTACATGATCAAAGCCTTGATAACAGCGACAAATTGTAAATGGCCTGTATTTATACAGCGCTTTACTAGTCCCTAAGGACCCCAAAGCGCTTTACATATCCAGTCATCCACACATTCACACACTGGTGATGGCAGCTACATTGTAGCCACAGCCACCCTGGGGCGCACTGACAGAGGCGAGGCTGCCGGACACTGGCGCCACCGGGCCCTCTGACCACCACCAGTAGGCAACGGGTGAAGTGTCTTGCCCAAGGACACAACGACCGAGACTGTCCAAGCCGGGGCTCGAACCGGCAACCTTCAGATTACAAGGCGAACTCCCAACTCTTGAGCCACGATCGAGGCTAGTAGGTACAATTTATTGTACTACTAGGTAACAAAGGCAGACCAATCAAAGGCTTGTAGAGGATTGGAGGTAAGCCCTGGAGAGTGCTGACCTTGCTTTTTTGAGAGAGGCATTGGTGATGGGCTTATTTTAGGACCCAACCTTTGACCCTTTGGCACAGCACTGTCTTCTTCATTGATTTTTTCCCACACAGAAAGGATCGCCTCGTCTTTTCTTTGCCTTCATTAAATCTTGCTGAAGGTGCATTTGTGCGCTTCTTTCAGCCCACATGGAGCCTCGCCTGTGGCAGAGCTTTGCTGCTTTAATACAAATGATCCATAACATCTTCAAAGCATGCCACAGTTAAAAACATCTTCCACGCTTATACTTTTATTTTTCTGAGTATATTAAATAAAAACCACAGATTTTCAGTGTTGCTGCTGAAATGGATGGAAAATGTCAGCAGCAATAAAACACGGTATAAACTGTAGCGTGTGAAACAACACCGGTGCGGTGCTTTAAAAAGTTAAGCTCGATGCTGAATCACAGGACTGTGGATGTTACACGGACTCCTGCTGTAACACCGCACATCAGCTCCCACAGGCCGAGTGACACCACAGAAACAGCATTAAAGGTTAGCATGACTGCGCCTCTGGAGCGGAACACAGCACAGGGCGAGAGCACAGGCGTGGATGCAGCCTGCACCGTGACCCGAGCCGCGGCTCAGACTCTGGCTCCAGCGTTATGTCTGGGCGTGAGGGGACAAATCAAACTGCCATCTTTTTTTTAATGGAGATCGACGCTATGTGACACAGATCCGGTCAGACTAAACTGGATTACAGCTAAAAGTAACGCGTGGTATTCGGGCAGAAGGCAAACGCGGGTGTCACAATGAGCAGCCGGAACAGGGCGACGGACAGCCGCCTGTCACCGAGGATGCAGGGACGGATGATAAAGAGGCTCCTGACTCGGGAGTCTTCACACCAGCAGCATCCGAGCTGAAACCCGCAGCTTTCACCGACACACGGACCGTTACGCAGCTCCTGCCCGGGACCAGCAGCGTTTTCCTCCCAGCAGGCTGAGTGAATCTAAGCGGCTCTTTGGTGAGAATAGCACCGATCACACGAGTACAAACGACGCGGATGGGAAGTGTTTTCTAGTCCAACTGTATTGTCCTCCCATCTGCGCAGAGCGCTCCTCTCTGTCTCCTCTAACCAGCATCACTCTGCTCTGCTGCGGCGAAAATCCCACCGCAGCTCTCCGCGGTTAAAAACAGAGATATTTACCTGCACGGCCGCCATCAGCATCCAAACACGAAGCATTCTGTTCTCGTAAATTTCCTCCTTCAAAACAGGTAGATGTTTTTTTCAGTTCCCGGTAAAACCCGGCGTCATGAGGAGCCTTCCTCCTTGCACCAGCCCTTCTCTGTGTCTGTCTGCTGTACCCGGCTCAGTGGCACTACAGCCTGCCTGGGACTGGCTCTGGGCCGGCCCCTCTGCGCCTCGGTGTCGCCCTCTAACGGACACAAGGTGCACTCGGGTTAAGGATGTTCAGCGGCTGGTGTCAGAACAAATATGCAGCCAGAGGAACAATTCCGTTTCTTTGTAACTCATAACTTGGAGAACAGAATCTAAAAGCAAAGGCACCGCTCGCTGATAGTTTGTGCTACACTAGAAGAGCACAGCTTTGATGGTCTGTAAAGGTGAGCCATCCTGTTTTTAACTATTTGTAGTACTTGTGTCATTAGAAACCTTTTATACTGTAGCCTGGGAAATGGTTAGCCACACAGGACACAAGTACTGGGGTTCTTAATGTGCAGTTTTATTGTCAATGACGACTGAATAAACAAAAAAAATGTCCTTTGACCTTTACTTTAGTCAAACAGCGGCCATATGGACTCGTACTGAACACCGACAGCACGAGAGGTAACGTGGCGAAGTAACAGAAAAAAAGATGCGCCAATACAAGACGAGGAATAAAGGAAATGAAATGAAACACAAAAATACGGCAGTGGCCTCTGTCTGTGCAGAACAAAATACAAAGAGCTAAATCACACAAGGCTCCTTTAAAACTGTGGAAGTGTTACGTTTTTATAAACACATTCCACAGAAATCGGAATACTGGAGCACACAGACGATCTTTGCATGGAGAAATGGCCGCTCCACGCTGCACATACAGGTCCTTTGCATCATACAGAAATACATCATCGTGTTAAAATACTGACGTTTTGCCACTGCACTACAATTATACCAATATGTTTCAATGAGTTATGTGCGTATTTAACAATTCCTTACCATTGTGACGGACCACCAGGCGGCTCCACTCACACCCAAGTTGAAGGGAAGTGTTGGGGTGGAGATTTTGGCGCTTACTGTATGTGAAGTTCTGAGAGTCAGTTACAGTTTTTTACAGTCGCTAACAA